TGCAAATAAACTCTTGGATAACACCTAAGATGAGCTCCTGAAATTATCTCCTGGAAAATATCCCTTGAGTACATTTTAATCCTGTGATTCTTTAAAGGAGCTTAGAGTGAACACAGTTTTCCTTTCTCCATTGTATCCTGACAACCACCCTGTGAAGTAGGTTAGGCTTACTCAGTTTTTTTCATGACTGGGTAGAGACTACAGTCCTAGACTGTAGTCCAACTCTCTCATCTCTGTTTTTGAACCTTGTCCTCCCAGACTGTAGTCCAACTCTCTCATCTCTGTTGCATGGCGCTATCTCATTCTTTGATCAGATATTACCTGCTAGCTTAGGTAGAGTTGCACACTTCCCCCCCCCTGGGATATTTCCTATGCCTTTAAGCAGCTGCTTAACATAGCAGCTGAAACTTTTTCCATCATTCACCTGCTTGCTAGGAAGAGGTTAACAGCTATATTTCTGCCTTTAGTAGGCACTTGATTTGGATTTTGTCTTTGACAAATCTCACACCTTGGACTATCTGATACCTGCTTTTATTATTCTCCCTCTTGGTAAAAGTATAGGTTTACAATAAATTGCATCTAGCAACCTTGTCCACTGTTGGCTTCCTGCTATAAAAGGTACCCTCTTTTGCTTCCCCATTGCTGCCATGTTTGTTTTGTTTTCCGATTACAGCCATTTAAGGTATCATGGCTGCTTACTTCAGGCCTTGACAAATTTTCTTTGGCTACAGGAGCTAACTGGAAAAACTAGAAGCCAGATTTGTGTGTCAATCTTCAGAATTCCATATATTAATTATACTATATTTTCTAATCATAACCTAGACAGTTTCTCTTAATTTTAATACAATTTTGACAAAAGGGTTGTACATAAAAATAACAATAGCCATGGTTGTCATTGTTACAACAAAAAGGTAACCCCTGACCTCAGCCTAACTTCTCCCTTATTTCTGATGATTGTTATTTCTTCAAAAGTTTCATTTAGTTGAGTACTGGCGCCAGTATAGGAAGCAACTGGTTAAGGAAGAAATTTACCCACCACCACTGAATGGTGTAAAGTTATCGCATACACAGAAACTTTGTGCACATGTATTTTTGTGCCACACAACAAAACATATTCTGATCTGAAAAAATAAATAAGCTTTTTATCTCTGATTGAAACTACAGCTACAATCAAATCACTGCTAAAAATAATAGGCACTGTGGTGACCTGGCACCTGGAATTTGCGAAGCCCTGGCTTAGTATGTATGTATGTTGAAAGATATCTCATTTGAGTTTTACAGAATTTGCTTAGTGTGAGAAGATTAGTCACCATCTGTAGAAACAATATGCTAGGTTAAGTAGAACTAATACTGAGTATTTAACAAATTGAGAGAATAAAAGCAGGGGTATAAAGTGTTCAGTTTTTGCTAACCAGGTCCTGCATATGACTCCAAAAAGAACTATGCATCTATTCAGTAAGGTTTTCACAGTGTACAGGTAATTGGAAGTTATTACAAATTCAGTTGGAATTACCTAGTACCTTTCAAAACACTGCTGTCTCTTTGAAGGAAGAGCCTTATACATACCTAATGAACAGAAGGTTATCCACTTAAAACAAAACAAAACTATTTTTACAAGCCCTTTCTGTTCTTTAAAATCTGACCAGGTCTGAGTTTCTATTCAATTTTTTACCTCTTTAATGCTCCCCAATAAATTACTTTAAATTAAGCTGGCAAAAAAGGTGCCCTAAACAAGAGTCCTCATTTTCTTCTACTTTTTTTCTCTCCTTACATGTTGCTTTTAAAACTCTCCATATGTTCTTTCTAGATCAGGTCATCTAATGAAGCAGATTCCCACATTGCTCTAGGACAAGTATTCAGTATGCTTCAAAGGAGATGGTAGTAGCATTTTAGTTCCTCTTCTGGTGATTTTCCACACCTTGGAGAAAGAGTTACTCTGCTCAAATTGACTTTCCCCCGGAAGTGCTAGATCATCTGCTACAGGTGAAAGCAACAAATGCCTTGGCCAGGTCCTGAATGCAATGAGAAAACATTAATGCCATTTAACATAGTTGTGGTGAGATAGAAGATGGGAAGTTTGATTTGTTTCCAGCTTTGTGTCTGTTAGTAGATATATTTGTGAAATGTAAGTTATGCCTCTCTGTTATTAGTTACGTCTTTATAACTTTTGTAAATTTGTTCTAATTTTGTTAGGAAGGGAGAGATTAAAGAGACAGTAGCTGCTATATCTACCATATATATATTCTACTTTCAGGCTCTTCTGTTTTGACCTGTTGAAGGGATGTTCTCATTCCACTAATTTCCTGGCCAGGCTTACTTGTGAGTCTTGTTGATTCACTGGGACTTATGCCCAAGTGTTTTAAGATGGTAGTCTTAATAAGCAGGGTTTAAAACAAGACTATGTATAATATAATTTGGAAATGGTAGTGTTGCTGGAACCTTTTGGGAGCATGCAAAAGGGCAGACAGTATCTTGTAGTTTCTAAAATATGTGGTTGTTTCCGTCTTTTGCAAAGTTAATAACATCCCCAGTTCTATTTTCATGTGATATCTTGTTTCTTTCCCTCAGAAAAAGATCCCAGTATTGTGTCAGAGTTTAGCTTACAAGTTCTGCCCTTTTCTTGGGCTGAAACGTAATAGCAACACGTGTTAAATGAAATCTCTTCTGAAGTGGGAAAAATGGATTTGGGGAAAAATTAATTGTATAGTGTTTGGGTTTGGAGTGTTGGTGATGAAAACGTACACAGTGCAATTACCTTAGCTGTAAGCTTGCTTGAAATGCTGGCCTAACCTCATCATACTGGCTGTAATAGTAGGTAGTATTGATGTGCTGTCATGCTTGTGCTAAGCTTCATTTGGAGCATTTATGTGCTCTGCTTAATTTCCAAAACAAAACAAGGCACTGCTCAGATCTAGCTGAAAACATTACTCTTGAGTACAGAAACCTTTCCATTAATTCCAGATGTAGTTTTTTTGTAGCTTCTTGGTGCTGAGATAAATGTATTCTTCTGTATGTTCAGGGACACTTTCATTTGTTTCATGGCAGAGGCATGGCGATGAAGACCAATGATAGGGACATCCTGTGGATTCTGTCATACTTTCTAGTGCTAGTGCATTAAGTCTTAGGACTGTACTGTGTGAAGTGCAGTGAGATCCAGTGTTGTGCAATGGCTAGAATGTCACATTAGAAGTAGGGTGAGCTGAATTCAAATGTCCACTCAGCAGTGAGGCTCACTGGATGTCTTCTTTCGGCCTAATGTACACCATGGGTTGGCATGAGGGTAAAAAGCAAGAATGATGCAAGCCATCTTGAATTCATTGGAAAAACGGTAGAATATAAGTGTGATAGATAAAAGAAGCTAAACATTAAGGTTTGTGACTTACGGGTGTTGGATAGTAGGGTTAAGCATAAAGAGGAGTCACATTTGCCAAGTGTCTCTGGGGCTCCATTTGTACACAATAGATTGCTCTTCACCTTGTTTTTAAAAAGGCTCTTAACAAATTTAAGAAGATTCTTGATACACACAAGTCAACACATATTGAAGCTTCCCCACTCCTTCACCTTTCCTGTTGCGTCTGTTGATTTTTTTAGATGTTGAGCCTAAGAGTGGGGGAAAGGTCCCCCCACACACACACACACAGCATACAGCAACTTTAACAGTTTTAATAGGGCCAGTGCATGTAGTGGTTAGAGTGTCAAACTGAATGGCTTCAAATTCCTGTTCAGCCCTGAAACTCTTTAACTGACCTTGAACCAGTTATCCTCTCTTTATCTAACCTACCCCACCAGACGGTTGTAAAGAGAAAAGGAACAAGTGCTACGCTAACTCAAGGGTACAGAACAATATAAAAGGTTAAATTCCTAAAAATGTAAGAACTTGCATTTACATTACACATTTATATCCAATAGTGTGCCTGGACTGTATATAATTCTTATGCTTACTCAGCAGTGTCCCCACTGAGTGCAATGGAAATGATTTCCAAGTAAGCACACATAGGACTGTTGCCTTAGACTGAAATTCTTTGTGCTCCTGTGTGCTCACTGAACTTAATAAGACTTCCTTTCCAGTAAACCTGCATACAATAGTGCTGTTGTTTCTTTAAAAGCCTCTTTCTTGTAGGTCTGGGGGCTTCCTAATATTCAAGTATCCAGTAAAGGCTGCTGAAAGAGGCAGGATGATGGAACAGATGGACTTTGCTTTGATTTGTGATGTCAGGTCCCATAACGTTCTTTTGCTTTATGAAAATCAATGTAAAGCATTATAATCCTGCATTCGTAAAGCAATAAGGTTATTTTTCACTAGGGCTTATTATGCAGAAACCTGTGCTATAAAGTACAAATAATGATACTTAACCAGATGTACAGAATCTGAAAATGGTGCATAAGTGCACAGCTTTACTTTAGATTTGCATTTTCCTGATTATGGCTGGTTTCATTTCCTCCCCCCTCCCCTCCTGTTTTTGGTGCCAAATGGTCTTTATTTAAAGACGAAACAATGAGTGTGTACTGAATATTGATGAACTTAATCCCTTTGAGGATTACCATTATTTGTACCCCCTCAGAATACAAATGCCATGCTTCATGTAGACCAGTATGCTGATTTATCTGTAACATCATTAACCTTTAACCCTTTCTGCAAAGAATCTGTCTGTGTATGTGTACCAGTGTGTATGTTTTTAATATTATTTTTTATTTTTATAGTATAGCACCACTTCTCTGTGCTGTGGAGTTGCATACATGCTCTTCAGTGCATGCCATGCACAACTGAGATAACAACATGCTTTGGCAAAATGTGAATCATTAAAGCAGCACTGTGATCCAAGGCTAAAGAGCTGCTTTTTTCTCTCTCTCCAGTGAATAATAAAGATGCAATTACTGGATCTTCAAGTTTAACTTTCTTCTTTTCCTTTCCCCTATCCCCTTTTACTCCCCAGAACCTGAACTTTTGAAATCTGAAATGTAAGACATGCAGTGACAGACTGACCTTCCCAGACCTTACAATGCAAGAGTTTCAGACAGTGCAGAAAGAGGTCTCCGTTGTCAAGGAATTATTATTCACACCTATCAAAGACAGCCGGGAGTGTAGCAGGCTGAGTCTGAAAAGGCAATGGTGCCATGAGCTACCATTGGAAGGAGCTGTCTGCAGCTCTTGGTGCTCTACTGAGCATGTCCCAGAGGAGTCCTGTGCTAGCAGCACATTATGCAAAAAGGCAGCTCGAGCAGCTGGGAGAGAGGCAGAGCAAGCCTTTGGTCCGCTTGCATCACCACCGCTCGAAAACAAGCCTGGATTACTCTGGCTGCCGGGCCAGCTGAATGAAGCCGAGCGGCATGGCTTGATTTCTGACGTAGCAGGACTGCTAAACAACATGGGGAACCAGGATGGAAAGCAGAAGAGGAATGCAGGTGATGTGCATGAAGGGGGTGAGGATGCTTCTGGGCCCAGGGATGTGGAGGGCACAAAGAAGGGAGCAGGAAGCAAAAAGGGACTGGGGAGGCATGGCAAAGGGAGTGAATCCGGCAAAAAGAAGGGGAAGTCAGAGTCCAGGGCGTCTGTGTTTTCCAATCTGAGGATCAGGAAAAATCTGTCCAAGGCTAAAGATGGAAACAGCAGCTCAAGAGAGGATGTTTTAGAAAGCCAGGCCTCGCAAACGGGGGAGCTGGACAGCGCTCATTCGATTCTTAGCAAAACTCCTGATATAAGCATTTCTGCCGATGAAGGGGGGCTCTCCGACACAGATGTGGACCATTTTGAGATTACAAATGAAACGCGTCCAGCTGCTGCGGAGCCGCAGGATGGACAAAGGACCAGCTCCGGCTCAGATACGGATATATACAGTTTCCATTCAGCTACCGAACAAGAGGATTTGCTTTCCGATATCCAGCAGGCTATTAGACTGCAACTGCAGCAGCAGCAGCAGGGGGCAATTAACATTGGAACTGAGCAGCATGGCACCAAAACAATGGATCTACACATGGCTAATTCTCAAGCTACCCCCTTAGATTTTGAAAGGTTTCTTTCTCTAAGCAGCGACAAAGACAGCAGTCCAGATACTGAGCAGGCTGTCTCGGCAAAATCGGAAATTACAGGCTATATCCCCACTGGTGGTACCGAATGTGGAGTGAAGGAAGAGGCCAATAACATGGGCTATCCCTGCAGCAGTGTGTTTGATATGGAGGAGCACAGACGATTGCCAGAGGAGCAGGAGCAGCCTGCTGGTGAAGTTAACGATTTAAATGCTGCAGTGGCTGAAAATGGGACTCTGCTAGACAGTTCTGTGTTTAATTTTCCGTCCCCAGTAGGTGAGTCCGAGACTGAAGTAGTAGGTGTTGAATCTGCCAGTTCAGAAATAGAGGGTGATATTGCAGATGCAGGCCATGGTCAGGTTGATGGAGCCAAAGAAAGGAAATCGAGTGTGTCGGTAAGCAGAGAGGCCGTGGATGATGGGTTTTCTGCTGAGATGAAAAATAGTACTTTTTCCTCAGAGGACATCTCGAGCAGTCCTGCGCATGGTTCCAAATGTTTCAAGCCTTATCCTCCCATAAATCCATGCTACATCAAAACCACCACAAGGCAGTTGAGTTCTCCAAACCACTCACCTTCTTTGTCCCCATGCCAGAGCCCACTTTTTAAAAGGAGGCGTGAGTCCTCTCAGCGAAAAGTGAGTGACTCAACCAAGAAACAGCGGTCGTCCAGTTTGGCTGGTCCATTCAGTCGCTCAGCCGACTGGACAGATGAAATTTTGGATCATAAAGGTGAAATAGCTCAAAAGTCTGGCTCGGCAGACTTCTTGGAGTACAGGCGGGTGAGAGATGGCTTTCAAGGAGAGAGGATGCCTTTGAATCACTCAAGAAAGACCTCAGGGATGACACCTTCTAGTGACGCCTTCCCCAATGTGTTCAGAGGTGAGTGACATCAATAAACAGTTGCTGGGAACTCAGGGGTAGAAAGTAGGTGTCTAGGGTAGTGGTCGTAATAGGTCCTTTCTCTCTTAGTTAATTTCCATTTATATGCAAATTGATACCCCCAAAAAAACCTCTGCAAATATTTGAATACTTTAGCATGTGGGTTGTTCTGTGACTTCAGTGGAAATGAATGCACAGATAAGTTTGCAATATTTGCTTAGAAATTCCTTTGCAGCAGTATATTCAAAGTATTTAGCATGCAACTCATAGGGAATGTGTAAAGACTCTGTTTTGAGTTAGTTGTATGTCTAAAGTCCAGCAGAAGTGGAAGTCTGTGTGCCCATTTTAAGTTTAGAGCATTTTATAGTCTTGCCAAGGATTTTTCAAAAAGAAAATGCAGTATGCTAAGTGGGCCATAATAATTTTCATATTACAAACTCTTGCTAAGGCAAAATGACTGTACATGGTTGAATCCAGAACTGCCACGCTGAAGCCCAGTGTTTTGTCTGTGAGGACGTGCTGTCAGCTGATCATTTTATGTATATAGAGTTTTCCATTTATTTGTAGCTTTCTTTCCATTCTGAAGTATTTGACAATTCATAGCCTGTTTAATTTCCTTGCCACAACATGGCAATGTGTGTGATGTGAGGGTCACTTATTGATGCTGGGATGGAGCGGAGAACTGAAGAACCCGGATCTCCCAGTTTAGCAATGTCCGGTAGTCTAGAAGTAGGCTGTGTCTGGCCCACAAAGTGCATTTCTCCCCCTAGACTCTTTCCTGTGCTGCCCACTGCTGCTACTGTCAAATAACTGGTTTGTGGTCTGGTCATTTGATTGGGGGGTGGGGGGTGGAGACAGCTTTTCCACCGGACCAGATGTAGACTGCATGTTCTCCACTTCTTCAGTAGCCCACAGTTCATTGCTTGGGATATTCAGGATTGTTGCACTACCCAATTTTCACGTTTCCCTTCTCTGGTGTTGTTAGACTGCAGAGACTTTTTCTGCGGTAAAAAAGTTGCTTGAATAATAAGTTTGCTCTTTGGAGTGGTCATGAATGTGAGTGGAGGTTGTTGTAGGCGGGGGGGGGGCTTGGTGAGTTGTACATTTTTTAAAAAAACCACCTCTATCTATGTATTTCCTTTAATCCTTTTGTTAAGCTGAAGCATTAACTTCAAACACATTGTTAATGGCAAAAAGAAAATGGAAACTGAGAAAACAATTTGGTTTACTTAAGTTGACCCTATCCTGGATGGCCCAGGCTAGCCTGCTCTTGTCAGACCTTGGAAGCTAAGCGGAGTTGGCTTTGGTTAGTACTTTGCTGAGAGACCACCAAGAAGGTTCAGGGCTGCTACGTAATGGCAAATAATTTGTCTCTTGCCTTGAAAACCCTATGGAGTTGCCCTAAAGTCAGCTGTGACTTGATGGGACTCTCCCCCCCCCTTTAAGTTCATTTTGACTCATGTTGCTAATGTAGCCTGCAATTAGGTTTCATTGAAATCAAGTGGTACGACTCTCACTAACTTTAAAGGTGTGACATACTTGGGGTTGCCAGGTCTCTCCGGGCAGTCGGCAAGGGATGGGGAGTGGGCTTAGCTTCTACTATAGAGATTTTGCCCAAAAACCAGAGCATCGCCCTGACGTCCCCATGTCACTTCTGGGTCCTGTTGGAAGTCACATCGCTAAAACATCAGGTGAAATTCCCTTCTTTTTTTTTTGCAGTAAGTCCCCTCCACCAGCCAGCTGATCAGCAGCAGAGAGGTGGGGCTTGGGACCCCCTCCCTCCACCATGGGGTCTGGCATCCCTAGATGTACTGCATGGAGTGTAGCACTAGGAAGACTTGTGTTCAAATCCTGACTCAGATGTGAAGCTCTCTGGATGGCTTTGGACAAGTCAGAGCCTCAGAGTCTAACCTTCCTTGTCTGCCTATCCTGGTTTTAGTATATTTTTCAATCCCACCCTTCCTTGAAAGAACTCAAAGTGGCATACATGGGTTTCTCCTCCTCCATTTTATTCTCAAAACAATTCTGTAGGATAGGTTACACTGAAAGAGGATAATTGGCCCCAGGTTATCCAGTTGGTCTCATGTCAAACAGGACTTTGAATTCAGGTATATGTAGTCCAGTACTCAGACCACTTCACCCCACTGGCTTCCAAGACTGCAAGGTTATTGAGAAGAGAAGATGAGATACTCCCATGTATGCTGCTCTAAACTTCTTGGAGGATGATTGGAATGTGATATATTCTGGCTTCCGTTCTCAAAAGTGACATAAGTAGCTAAGTATTGTTGATTCAATGGTTGATGGGGGCAGAGGTCTGCTGTACACTCCCTTAAAATCAAGCTCAAATATCTACTTATGGCAGAGTAATACAAGTACAAGCACTGCTTCAAAATCAGCAGGACATAGAAACACAGAGCTTGGCTCAAATATCTACTTATGGCAGAGTAATAATAAAATCAGCAGGACATAGAAACACAGAGCTGGAAGGGAACTCGGGGGTCATCTAGTCCAACCCCTGGCACAATGCAGGGAATTCAACTACTCTCCCCCCCCCACTCCCCCAGTGAACGCCAGCTCTATGCTCAGAGGAAAGCAAAAAACCTTCAGGATCCCTGGGCCAATCTGGCCTGGGGGAAAATTCCCTCCTGACCCCGAAGTGGCAATCACCATTACCATGGGCATGTAAAAAAGGGCTACGAGAGTTGAGCATTGGCTCATTCCTTCCCACCCTCCCTCTCATGATCTGCCTGAATTCACAGAATCTGAATTGCTGTCAGATGGCCTCTGCTTAAAAGAAGGAGAGCCTCCAGAGCTCCCCCCCCCCCCGAAGTCTGTTCCACCGAGGAACCACTCTGCCAGGAAGTTTTCTAATGTTTAACCCAAAACCCTTTTGATTTCATTTCAGTCTGACCTTCTGGGGCAACAGAAAACAACTCTGCTCCATCCTCTATATGACAGCCCTTCAGATACTTGGAGATGGCTATCATATCACCTCTCAGTCGTTTCCTCTCTAGGCTAAACATACCCAACTCCTTCAACCTTTCCTCATAGGACTTGGTCTCCAGGCCCCTGTTGAAAATTAGTTTGTATTCTTGTAACCTATTAAAATTTCAAAATAGAGTTCCTAGTTCTGTGATAATAAAAACTGAGGAATATATTTCTCAACAATCCTGTTATAGTAGCATTCATGTAAGACTAGAATTCATATTGCAGATTTAATCTTTGGTGTTTGTATTTTAAAAATTCATCTTACTGTTGTGTTGCCTGTAAAACTCAAGGATGTATTGTAGTATAAGTCTATGTGGGCTAGAGCCTACTTCATCAGATGCATGTAGTGAATTCTTGGTCTGCAGTGAGATCTATACACAAATGCAGGTGGACAGGAATTGTGGACAGTGGACTAAAAAGTCCATGCAATGCATACAAACTCATTGTCTTTTCAACTGACATACAGAACCTAGGCCATGTTGTCTTGGCAACCAGGCAATGATAGGCTCCCTTTCTTAGGAAATATCAACCCATGATGCTGCAGAACTCTCTTATTGCAGCATCTTTCAAAGGAAGGAGGCTGCTGTTTCCCCTGGCCTTGCAACTGACCCATTGAATAAGGAAGGAGCTACCACAAGGACATCTGGGTGTGATGGGATAGGACTGAATCATCACATTTCTGTGCTTGTGTCCCCAAACTGATTTGCTTTACTATTTTAATTGTGAATTGTTTATGTTATTATAAACCAGCTTGGGAACCATTATGGCAGAAAGGCAGTATATAAATAGAGCAGCAATAATAGTAAAACATTGATTATCTCTGTTGAGTTTCATGCTCTTTTAACCCTATCATTCACTATTTTTCCCCTCTTCTGTGTCTATATATCTGCAGACTGAAATTTCACTTCATGCTTCTGGGAAGTAGGCTCTAGCTCACAACAGCTTTTGCTACTATCAATCTGTTAACTTTTACATGCTGTAGTACTCTCTTTTGTTTGCTGCAACAGACTAACATGGCCCCCCCCCACCCGGAATTCACAATTTATATGAGAAATTGCCAAAATGTGCACTGTGAAAGAACTGCTGCTGTGCTTGAAGGCATAAGAACATAAGAGATGCCAATGTTGGATCAGGACAAAGGCCCATCCAGTCCAACACTCTGTATCACAGTGGCCAGAAATACCAGTGCCATCAGGAGGTCCACCAGTGGGGCCAGGACATTAGAAGCCCTCCCACTGTTGACCCCCCCCCAAGCACCAAGATGACAGAGCATCACTTGCCCCAGAGCCCCTATCTATACCTTCTAAATAAAGTCTCATGTGAGAGCATACTCCCCCGCCCTGAAACACAAAGGTGGTTGCCTGCAGAGTCTTTGGCCTGGCTCCTTTCTAGTCAGCCAGTGCAACAGTCTAGGTCAGTGGTTCTCAACCTTCCTAATGCCGCGACCCTTTAATACAGTTCCTCATGTTGTGGTGACCCCCAACCATAAAATTATTTTCATTGCTACTTCATAACTGTCATTTTGCTACTGTTATGAATTGTAATGTAAATATCTGATATGCAGGATGTATTTTGATTGTTACAAATTTTCCGATGGTCTTAGGCAACCCCTGTGAAAGGGTCGTTCGACCCCCAAAGGGGTCGCGACCCACAGGTTGAGAACCACTGGACTAGGTGCTTCCAGTCCCAGTGCTTTCCCTTCTTGTTCCGGATTCTTCTGTGATGGGAGGATTGGGGAAAACAGTCTTATATTCTCCCTTCGTCTATACTGTGTGAATGGAATGAAAATGACCAGGAGTCTTGCTCAGATTTATTCTTGCTTAGGTCTGAGGTGATGAGTTTGAGGGGGAGGGACTACCATCTATAATGTAGGGTTTGCCAAACCCCTTTCTCACTTCAAAATCCTTTGATCTGCCCAACCATATCTCTAACACTTATGCACAGCATTTTTTAAAAGTTCTTTCTAGTGCTTTGTTGATTACTGTTATAATAAAACCCAAGCTCCTCTCTCT